ATTATGGACTTAGTTGGTGTTTATGGTCATGACATCACAACAGGGAGCAGTATGGCCGTATGGACTGTGTGGTCATGACATGACTATGAGGGGACAATATGGCCTGTAAGGGTTGGACTAGATGATCTTCAGAGGTCCCTTCCAACCCTGACAAAAATATTCAGTTTGGGGGTGAAATTGGGCAATTTGGGAGTCAAAATGGCCCATATTGTTGTCAAATAGGCCAATTTTTAAAATTATTATTATTATTATTAAAAGGACAATTTGTGTCAAAATGGGCAATTTAAGGGTCAAAATGTGGTGTTTAAGGTTAAGTGGCTGGGATAGCACAGAGCTCCAGTGTGAGTGGGGCTGTGAAAGTGCTGCTGAGAGAATCAACTACATCCAGTCCCAGCAGCTTCCTTGGGAGGGCGGCCATCAGCTTCCAGGGCAGAATAAGGGAGCACTAAGTTAGGTGTTCAGCAGAACCCTGCACTCCAGTCTTTGTGAGGTTCTGAAAAGCACTGCTAAGGGAACATTTAAACCAGCAAAATTTAAATCCCTCAAGTTTAATCCACCCAGTGCTCCTTGCATAACTGTAGTAAAGTAATAATGAGTATTGATGATGATAATAATAATGAGTATAACCTGTAATGAGGGTCCAGGTGACCCTCCTGAAACCTGGTTTGTCCAGTCTCTGAGAACTTTAATTCAAGATACATGCACTTACTGGGGACAGCCATCTAGGGGATGGAAAAAATAAAAATACTCAGTGCTGCCCTGCTCCATCTCCTGTGGTCTGTGTGGCTGGGCAGCTGAGCTTTGGGGCTGAGCTGCTGCCCATGCCTGCCTGCCACCTTGGCAGAGCTTGCTTCCCAGTGAGCAGACCTCAGCATTTGTGTTCAGAGTTTTAGGGGCTGTATCTGCCCCAGCATGGGCACGTCAGCATGAAATGAGACTGCCCAGGGTCCCTACAGCCTCTTGGTGCCTCCTGGGTCCTGGAGACAGATGTAAAGATGAAAATCTCATGGAGATTTTGATCAGAAAAATCAGCCAAGTGGGAGGTGGCTCTTTGGTACTTCCCAAAGGCTCCTTCTGCACAGCATCCTCTTATCAGAGGTCCCAGACACACTGAGCATTGAGCATTTCTGTCCTTACCTGGCACTCCAGGGATGCAGGAGGCAGGATGTTTGTGAGCAGCTTTTTGGTACCTAGAGAAAGATCCAACCCTCTCAGGTCTTTTGGAAAATCCTACCTCAGCCCAGCAGCTGCAAAGCTCTGGCCCTCATCTGCTGTGCCAGCAATGAGATGGGAGCAGGCTCCAGTCTCTCATGACATGGCTTACAACATCTGTCTGCTTAAGCTGAGACGTGTCCCGTACTACTTCCCCATCAATATTGCAGGGCTCCCCGCTGCTGCCAGCACAGTGTCACCTGTTCAGGAGCTGCAGCTATAGTGCAGGGTGTTGTCAGCTCATCCTCCCACCAGGGCTGCTCCGTGCTGGGTGCCAGCCTCTGCTGGGGCCAGGGAGGGCTCAAGAGGCTGAAGCTGTAATGGATCCTTGCCAGGTGATCAGTGTTTAAAGGCTTTGATCTGCTGCTTCTTGATTCTCGTCCAGCCCCTCGATGGAATTTCTCACGTGTAACTGAGCCTCACTAATCCATCCTGGCCATATATAATGGATGGCAGTGGAGTGAAGGAACACAAACGTGGCTGGGTATCAGTGACGGCTGCTGAGGCAGCAGCAGTCCCTCTGCTGGAGGTCCCCTGGTGCTGTTCCCTGCCTTCTGAGCCAGCCTGTGCAAAACACTTCCTCTGGCCCCAAAAAGCCATCACCAGCTTCGGCCATTCTCTGCTGGCCTGAGGAGCAGGACGAGGCTTGGAGCCAAGCCACCGAGCTGCTGTTGCCAGGATTGGCACTGGTGCCACCCACTGAGCCCTGGTGCTGCCACTCGATGCCCCCGTCAAATATTAATGCGATGCTCATTGTGCTTTCTGCCCTGCCCTGGTGCTGCAGCTGTGGCCCCTGCCCTGTCCGGGACTGCCCGACCCTTGCTCCCTACGCAGGGACTTTGGGAGTGCAGCTGCACGTACCTTTGGGTGTTGCCTGGGCAAGACCCAACCTCCTGCACACGCTGACAGTTTTCCAGGTGCCTCCTGTCCCTGGCAGCTTTACAGCAGGTAAGGCCCTGCTGGGGCTGGGGCTCCGGCCACCCCCATTCCATGGGGAAAGCCA